ATTGAAAGTTTTCACTACAATAAACAAAGTGAAAATAAAAGTGAAGCAAAAGGTTACCTCATCAGCAATCTTGGGGGGTGGCATATCACCAGTTGGCTTCACCACCTGTGGCCCCACCACCAGGGGAGACTTCCCCTTGTCTGGGCGAGAAGATTCTGCCACAAAGGGCAGACCCATGGGAGCCTCTGCATGATTAAAGAAGCAGCAAATCAGAAACCAATAGCACAAGCAAAGGTAAAATATCAAAAATGTATTACCTTCTGGTTCGACGTTTGGGTGGTCGGCGCCCTGGGAAGAAGGTGGCTCGTCCATTGATTGTGATGAAGGTGTCGGGACTGAAGGTTTCTCTTTAAGTGTAGTCCCTTCATCAGCTGGTTTGGACGAAGCAGCTCCAGCAGAGGATGATGGAACAGGAGCTGCTAACACCAAAACCTTCAAAGGAGAGGCTGAACTTTTCTGAGAAATTCAAGAAAACCATTAGTACATAGAAAGGTATGCTTGTGAGTAAACAGAATTCAATTCAATTACTTTTCTCCTGACGATGAGAGGAGTATCATCATCATCCTCCAAAATAGGAGATGCTGAAGCTAGCCGTTTGCGGCTTGGGGCGCTCTTAGCTGCAGTAGGTTTGGCAGGTAGAGAAGTAGAGGGACGAATAGATTGTTTAGCACGAGTAAGGGAGGAAGAATTCCTAATGGACATAGGGGTGACCAAAATAGGAGAAGTGGAAGGAATGTTCGGCTAATCTAGTGAATGGAAAGCACGATTGGCATCAATTGCAAACAATCTGCGCTTCACTGATGGCCAGAGTTGTTAAAAAAGGGGGTGAACGGCACGGCTAGGATTGAAGGGGGCTAATGAAAAGTTACTCGTCAAAAGAATATTATGAGTATCTATAGCTCGTGCCTCTACCTTATTAATGGTATGAAAGCGGTCTATCAAATTTTTTAAATAACAAGGGGGAACATGCCAAGTTTGGCCAAAATCAAGTTGGCGAGCAAAAAATTGGGGAGCATATATTTCAACCCCAGTTTTGGCATTGGTTCCAGTTAAAATATCATGGAACAACTCCCTCCCAGTCAAAAACTAAATCCAAACGAGCAAAGAGGCGCTAGCACTGTCCAGGGTGGATGGAGGTTGTACATAATGTGGAGTTAAATAAGCAGGAAAGGGAAAGAAAGAAAGAATTGAATTTAAAGTACAAAAGAATGAAAAAAGTCCCTTCTGGACATATTTACAAGGCTCAATGGGTCAATGGCTAGCCCATAGCAGCTAGCCGAACGAAGGGACATAGATAGAGCACCAAGTGATGGAAAATAGGCTCTCAACCACAGTTGAGCGAACCAAAAAGGCCCACTGCCAGTGGGAGATGCACCATTCTTCAATTGAAATTGAAGAGAAGTCATGCCTCTATAGAGGGCAACCAAAAAGAAGGAACACAAATTCAAAAGTCTACCACGCGCCAATTCATGCGCTATGGGTAAATAGCTAATTGAAGGCTTCAAACTAGGCACACACATAATATATTTACAAAGCCATATCTGAAGAAAGGCCACACGCTCAACATGGAAAGGCTCGGCGTTTGAGTGATTATGACAGCTTTGCAAGCTTGAATAGGACTCGGTGAGTTTTTTGTCAAATTTTGGGAAATCAAAATACCAGGGAAAACGGTGTCGCCCAAAGGTGGAAGATTTATCAGGGCCCCAACATCCCTTAAAGTGATTGACATGGGACCAAGAGGGAAAACAAAAGTATTATATTCAGAAGACCAAAAACTTAAAGCAATAGGAAAAAGTGCTAGGTCAAAAATTGAGGGTTGAAGAGAGATTTCTAATAAATCAGAAATCCTAGCATGATCAAAAATTGCCTTGGTAGGACCATGGCCCACAAGGCGAGCATGTCATCTACGAAAAACATCATCAGATTTAGGTCAAGTGCGAATACCTTTTTCGCGAATAGGCCTCAGCGGCAAAGAGTTCAGGAATGGAGGGCCTTAAGTACAAGGAAACAGCTGGCCCACCGCCACTTGTTCAACGGCTTCGGCGTTGGTGAATGAAGGACCCAGGTAGAACTCATTAAGTTCGGCATTGGCTGATGTAAGAAAGTTCGGATTTACATATGGCCGAGTGAGGATTTTTTGGAAATCATCGAAGCTAAAAGAGTCGTCAGATTGGGTTTGTGGAGCAGCCATTGGGAACGAAATACAGTTTTGTTAAAGTTTGCTCGAGAAACGTAGCAGAGAAGCAATAAGATGAACAGTGGTATGGTGAGAAAGAAGCGCAAAATAATGAGACGTGATTTAGTGGTACAACGAAATGGCGTGTCTTTAGGGTTTATAAGAGTTTGTAGCGTCGCACTTTTTCCGGCTATGGAAGGAAATAATGATTGAAATTATTGGGAATTTCAAATGTTGTTGGGAAACACAAGGTAAATATGGCAAAGATTAATAATTGGTATTAATTCTGCCGTATTGAGGGGTAATTGTTGACACACTAAAAGTGCAGTCCAAATCGAATAGCCTAGGGAATGAAGCCCAATTGAAGAATCCCCAAATCAAATAGCTCAAAGAATGAAGCCCACTGGACAATTCAGGATAAAGGCCCAGATAGGGTTATTAATGAATGTAGTGGAAGCCCACGACCACAGTAACATTATCGTCCAAACTTGCAAGACGCTCAAGATCTGAGCGAATGAAGTGCCTTACAGTCGCCCAGAGCTATGACCATGTTCTCGCCCAAACCTTCGAATCGCCCAAGATCTTAACAAATATAAGATGTTATGGTTATCTAGAATTGCAGTTATTGAAGCAGTTATCGAGTAAACTTATCACGTTCCACGATTCAAGGAGTTCAGTTGAAGACGGTTGAACGACAAAGAGTAGTGGCAACAGTTAGAGACGGCAGTTCCACGACAAGTTAGCCACCATAAAGGAAGTGGGTAGTTATAAAGCAATCAAGCAATTTCTAAGCGGTTGATCATGAAAAAATCATCAAGGGAATATAAAAGTAAGAGAAGACACAGAGTAAAGGACCCCGAATCAAACACTCTCAAATAGAGAATATGTAATTTTAATTTCTTCATTTAGATTTAAAATATTTCTTTTCAGTACTCGTGTGCTTGCGCCCCTTGGAGGCATTCTGTTTAGTTCTAAATTATAAAGTCATCGCCAATAAAACATCCTTTTTTGGGACTTTGTCTCAAGAGGTTTGTTCCTTACACAATCGTCTGATCCCTTTTTAATTTTTAGCGACTACTCGCGCGAAACAACTTTCAAAGTACTTTTTTTTTTATATCAATAACATAGTCACTAATGTCTCATATGACTTTTGGCGAGAAAAACATTAAATTTTATTTTTTTTTGAATTTCGTTTTCTGGTGTTCAACAGTAATACTTTTGTTCATTGTGTGAGTTTGTGCATCATATACGGAAAGCCAGCGGGAGAAGATGAAATTAAAAGTAAATCAAACTTAAGCAAGGTCGAGTAAGAAATTATCCTGAACTAACCCAAATTTCTCAGAATGTTTGCTAAAGAGAATTTGTTTATTCTATATTTAAAATGAATAAGCGAGTTTGCGTCCAACTGTCATTTTAAAATTTTTAGTTTAATATAATTTTGGGATTGGAATATACAGAGCGATTTCAACCTTTGCTGGATGAAGCCTGCACTTTCGTTCAATTCATTGAAAAGTCATCTGTATTAGTTGTATATAAATTAAATAAAATCCATAACTTCAACATGAACATTAACTTTAAATATTAAGAATGGAAAAGTTAACCTACCATACATGATGAATGGAAAAGACCCAAAAATAAAAAAAGAAAGAAAAGAAAGGAAAAGAATGGGAAAAGTTAACCTACCTTACATGATGAAGTCAATCATTTCCAAAGATTACAAATATTAAGACCAAGAAGAAAAAGGCTAATGATAAGCTAGTATGCCTCCTTACCTTCTTAATTAATGTAACATTAGGTGGCAATTATGGATTTGTACATATATATCTCGCGAATATGAAATTTGCATGGAAAAAAAATAAATTTTAGCAAGGTTGTCTAGAATTTATTTATATGAAAATTTTAGATTGATTTAATTTTCAACCTTAAAAATATTCTACTTGCCCATTTTTATTGGTGAGTAGATGAGACGGAGTGGATAGATGATAGAGAGAAAGAGATAGTGAATTATATGGAAAATAGAAATCGCTTCTCCCTAAGGAAATGTTTTCGTTGCTTTTGGGGAAAATATTGTCACGTGATCAAAAGTCGGAAAATATTTTTCATAAAAAAATTTGTCAATCAAACACTTCTAAAATAGGAATTTTGATGGAAAAAATGACATTTTCCAAAAACAAATAAAGTCAATCAAATATTCTCAGCGTTATATTGTCAAACCTATCAAACATGTGGTCTGGCTGTAGAATTAGACACCAAAATGTGTCGATAATCCGAAGATGAGTAAGTTGTGTGCTAAGATGTAAGAAAGCAGCCACTTAATGTTTTATTATTTTTTGTATGCGACATGTTTGTATATGTTACTTTTTTACTTTTTAAGGTAAATAATTACTTAAATAAAAATACCTTTCGTTTTGCTGTCAAATAATATTATTATCGTGCATAACTTTACATACCAAGAGAACGATAGTTCAATCACTTCAACAATTATACGTATATTCTTGTGATAACACGAAGGACAATAAAATAAGCAATTTTTTAATCAATTATTTTGCCAAATTATATATTATCACCAGCATTTTATAAGAACTATTCATCATTAGAGCCACAACAATTCGTTATTCAACGCCAACACATGCTGGTTCAACAATTGGCTAAGCTATTTAATTAGTCAACACAAAGATATATGAATCTTACTATTTTAATACAATTTTAACTAACATCAAAATATACAATGTTTTTGGACCACCCCACCCAACAAACACCTTACCTATGATCATGTCCAATTTCATAGTTGAGTTGTCTATATAAGTTGCTCTATACCATCATTTGTGCACATATCCGTGTTTATTTTCTAGTATTTTCATTTGAAATAAGCAATAGAAATGGCTATGGCTTCTGCATATCTCCTCTTCCTCGTCCTCCTCTCCCCAGTAGTTTTTGCCAAAGATATCAATGTTGGTGATGATAACGGCTGGACGAATGGGATTGATTACTCCAATTGGGTTTCAAGTCAAAAATTCAATGTCGGTGATAAGCTCGGTAAGTTACTTTCTCATTCTAAAGTATTTTTATGATTACATGCATTTTTGGTATGATAGACAAGGGTACATGCAAATGACAACAAACATACTTTTAACTTATTTTCTTTCAAAGGTACGTTCAAACGCACTAAATATATTAAAATTTCAATACCAAATCGAATCAAACTTTTTAAATGAGACGATCTAACGTAAAAACCTAAAAATCCTTGAGATGAAAATTTATTTATACATGTGGGATATAGATTGAAACTTAAAAATATCTAACATGAAACAATTCTTTGTTTGAAACAGTGTTCACCTTTGGTATCACTCACAGTCTGGCTGAAGTAAGCAAAGATGATTATGACAACTGCAACACCGGAAACCCTATAAAATCTTATAGTTCCAGCCCAACCTCCATAACTCTTAAAAAAGCTGGCACAATGTACTTCACATGTCCAAGATTAAGTCACTGCTCTCAGGGCATGAAATTGGCAATCAATGTCACCCCCACCAGCACCACTCCTGGTGGCTCACCACCACCATCGCCGCCCTCAGCCACCACCCCGTCACCACCTTCAGAAACCACTCCATCGCGTCCCAGGTCACCTACTACTCCGGACAGCCCACTTTCACGGCCTTCTACTACGGTCCCGCCAACGCCCACTGGTGGTGCTACAAGCATTTTTGGTGGCTTCAGTAATTTGATGGTTGTTTTGGTAGCTTGCTTTGTGTTTGTGGCCTAGGCAAGAGGCAGTGCTGTTGTTGAATGAGATGTAATCATGTTTATTGTATTGTTATTATTTTTGTATGAATAACTGATGATTGTTACCATTGTTCTTTTTCGCTTGTGTGGTTTATCATCTTACATCTTGAATTATTATGTTAGAATAAATGAAAAAAAGACTTAATTCGACTACTTGCTTAGTGCTTGCTTGACAAAGTTTAAAAAGTTGACGTCAAAGTCATCAATTAAATTTTATCAACTTTTCGATCACGCTTTAATCATTTATATATCTGTCTTTCAAAATTTATGTTTTAAATACTATGAGACTAATAAACGTACTAATATCTTGTTATTTTAATGAATAAGCATATTTCGTCTAGGAAACTTGGCAAACGAGAACGTTATGCTATATTCGATAGGATTATGATACTAATAAACGTACTAATATCTTGTTTGATATGCTATATTCGATAGGATTATGATGCATTAAAGTGGAACAAAATTTGTTAATTGTCATGTTTAGTATTGTACCTTGCCTTCGTACGAAAACGTTATTTAAGTTAATTCACAAAGAATACCATAATAAATTCGTTAATTTTTTGCAAGAATACCGAATTTTCGATTCGATCAACAAATCATTGATTTGTGCCCTAGCATTGGGATGGGAATTGGAGAAGATCTCAACAATTAATATTATATTTCAATTAAGAAAATCTCCATCATGAACCGGTCGTCTTCTTGGCGACATGATGATAGAATGAACACAGCTCTGCTACCAACACACATAGCGAAGCTTATAAGGAAACTCAAATTTGTTGATTTGAATGATCAAATACTAAGAACTTCTCAAGACCATTTAATTCAAAATTCAACTGAATGAAAAAATTGATCACAACTCGTAATTAAAGCAGTAAATAAAAGTTTATAATAATTAATTTCTAGATAACAATAACAATAAAAGATAAAATTAAACTCTAAACGGAATTAAAATCAAGAAAATTATCCAGGATAGTGAAAAAAACACGTTTTCGAATTCCTAAACGATGAAATTGAATCGAAACAGGCTATACATCATGGGAAAGCCCGTGAGTTTTTCCACTCAAATAGACACAAACATATCCGAAAATGAACACTTAATTATTTATTTATTTTTTTCGATCCTGATCTCACTTTTCCATGAATTCTTCTTCTTTTTATATTGCATCACTTCCTCACACCGCTACTGCTAAAATCCCCGTCGCATGCTGTGGCCGCGACTAACGAGACCTTTTTAGGGTTGAAGAATTTTGTGTTTAAAAACAATTAAAAGATTAATCTCTTTTTAGAGATGTGTCCACTCTTAAAAAAAGCTTACAAACGGACAACGAAACCCAACTAAATGGTTGAAAAAATTGGTTTTGACTAAAATTTTATATATTTGTCTTCAATTAGGTAATTAATAACAGATGCACTAACAACTCTAAACAAACCCAAACTAATCAATTTAAAATCATTTAATGCAATAAATTTATAATATCTCACTTAAATATAAGTGTACCATAACGAAAATACTTACTACTAATTTACCTAATCAGCATCCAAAAATTTGTAGTTGAACTTCTCGACCCCACTCGAATTTATTTATTCAGAGTCCCGATTTTAGCTTCGACTTGGGGCTTCATTTATGGGTGATGCTTCGGGTACATAATGGTGTCCATAATGCCCAAATGACGGCCCCCCGATTGTGGGACCGGCACTCCCTCCAATAGGGGACGTCACTTGGGCATTATGGACACCATTTATTTATTACTACTTTCACGTATAACTGCATTCATTCCGTTGGTGAACTAAATTTTACAGAGTAATTCATTCGAAAAATAAATCAAATATTTAACTTGGTAGAGTAACACCATAGTAAGACGCAAGTCATCAGTCCAAATCCGATAAGGGGCTTTGAATTTTCTAACCGAATTATTCAGAAAATAGAGATATTTCTTTATTTGGATTAAAAAAGTAACTAACCAAATAATACTTAATAGAAAAACAAAAGAATGCTTTCCATGACAAATTAGTTCAACTTTTTATTATTATTATTATTATTGCTCATCAACCATTACCTTAAAGTCCCAAGTTAAAACCTATAGATAAAATGGGAAAAAAATGTGCAACATAGGAAAATTACATACAATTTCGTTCAAAATCCAAACTAGTAAACAGAACACGTTTTCAACGCCATGTTCTATTTCCCAGAGATATTACCATGTCCTGGTACGAGGTTGCTGACAGCACAAGGGCAATCCATGACAAATTAAAAGATAACAAGGAATAGAAAGAAGTCATTGGATATCCCAGAAAATTTTTAACCCCCACCTTAGTTAAGTTTGCACCGAACTACAGGTTATTCGACGATGGTACGAATGACAAGAAAAAGCTGACCTAAAAGCAAATGGCATTGGCATCAGCTTATGGCTTGAGATTCTATTTGGTGTTCGAGATTCCGCAATACAATTCTTGCAAAGATTTTTGCTTCGAGTGGGGCACCTGTTGCGGCTGCTGCAGCTCGAAGCACCCGTGGTGCTCCAGTATTTCGAAGAAGTCTAACATGATGCTTTGCATGCCGACCACCTGGTACGGTGAACTACAATCAAAAATAGAAATTAGCCATGGACATTAACAGTAAATTGACAGTTTAATCTGTTTTTCCACGAGTTCCCAAGAACATTAGGGGGAGAGAGTAATCGTCTACCTGAAGAAGAGCAAATGCAGCGCACGCTTTCAGAATCGAATAAGGATTTCGCAGCATGGAAACAAACCTTCCAATCTCAGCTCCACTTGAGTAAAAAGAGAAGCGAAAAATAGGAAACATTATTTTTTTTTTTTTATAGGAAAAAATAGGAAACATTATAGAAACATAATAATTTAGCTAATAGTAGATTGCTGAATGTAATCAAGCAGAAACTGAGTTTTAGGTCTTAGACTCTTACGAGGAAAAAGTTAACAAGTTTGCAAAAGTACACATTGTAGAATAGAATTAAGTACATCAGATTAAAGAAAATATTGATGGTGGATTGAATGGTGCCATGAGTATTGTGTACAAACAAGCACATATAAAGAGACGTATGGAACTTAAAATTGGACCTGACTGATTATTGTTTGACCAAAAAAAGGTGTATTTCTGCGTGTTCAATCGCAAAAAATAAATTTACAAATGCCATCAAAACTGTTATCACCTCTCCACGACCCCAGCCTCACCTAAATGACCACCTCTCACACCAACTGCAGCTCATCCACCCCACTCCCAGCCCCTTCCCCATATTTCTCCACCTCCTTTGACAACAGCTCCTTCAACTCCTAGCCCCCACCCCTCCCACAACTACCTTAAACCGATTTTTAAATTTTAATCCCTAATTAATCCCCAACAATACTTTCTGATCGCCAAATCATTTATCACTTGGCAATTTGGAAGAATAGTTAGTACCAAAGATCAATTGCATGTTTTCAATGTTTTCTGCATAGCAACCCAATCCATAAGAAATTAAAAGGATTTTTACAGTGAAGTATTGATTAAAAAATAACAGCACAAGAGACTGAAAGGAAAAAGGTGGAGGGCAGAGAAGATCAAGTGGTGGCAGTTGACAGTGGGGAAGGGGTTAAAAGTGGCAGCTGTGGCTGGAGAAAGGCTAGATCATGCTGATCGGGGGTTGAGAAGTGGAAAAAGAACGTGATATTGGTCAAGATGTAACGTCTATTACAGCCCTTGTGTGGGACAAATTTTTTGAAAAAGTAAATTTTTTTGGAGAATGTGTAGTTAGGAATGGGGAAATGTTATGGGGAAAATTGAAAAATAAATTGTTTTTGGATAATATGTAATTGAAAATTCCAACTTAGTCATTTCGATAAGGTTCTTATCAACCCAATCATACCAAAAGGATGAGAAATTTAAACATTCAACAATACTGATCAAGCTTCTATATAAAGAACTGCATGCAAAAAATGTATTTGTTTAATGAAAAAGAGTCGATTTTCTTAGTAAGATTGAATTTAGTATCACATATTCAGAGGACATGTAAAAAGAACAGATCCAAACAAATTATGATTCATAAGATACTCAACTTCTGAAACTCTAAATCGAAGTACACAAGTAACCAAATGTTAAGAGTTTGGTCATGGTGTCGGACATATTTTCAGATAACATTTGTTTCTAAACATAGTCATTATTTCAAGCAGATAAAATTGTAACTTGAGAGAGAGAGAGGGAAGAAAACCTGCATCTCAGGTGACCGGCGTCTTGAATGCGAACAGAATTCAATACTTGTGTCAATGCTGCAGTGGCCAATGATGCAGAAGCAGCAGAGAATGCTTGAGGATTGGAAAAGGACAGGATAAAAGTTTCTACGTGCTTTAAGGCCATTCTTCTAGCCCCATCCAAGCTTACACTCTTTGAAATGCTTTCTGTGGCAACTTGATCCAGTCTGCAGAAAATGCAAATCTTCATCATTGTTGCCAAAACCCGTCCACTCCCAAAGAACAGAGAAAGAAAGAAAAGCATCAAAGAATAGATAAAAAAAAAGTTAGCCCCCGTTTGACCCCCATTCTCATTCTCATTCTTTTTCTCTCTTATTTTCAACCACACAATCTTTTATAAAATAATATTACACACAAATAAAAAAAAAAAAAAAACTCATTTTTTAACCACAAATTCTTAAAAAATACTATTTTAAAAATTATAACATCAAATAATGGGGGCC